AAACCCAACCCAAAAGAGGTTAGATCAGCAAAATGGTAATTTGATAATCTCTGGCAGAGGGAGGGGAAGCCGCCCACACCAGTGTGGGGGTGAGCAGCCAGGAAAGGGCAGAAACTGCTGGTTTTACCGTGAATTATCAGTTGATGATGTTCCTATCGCTCCGCGGATGCTTGGCAGCCCAGGGAAAATCCGGAGTGGGTGCCGGGCTTGGCCGATAGCTGGGGAGCCGGTGCAGCATCCACTGAGCCGCTTCAACTCACTGATCTGCAGGAAGCTGTGGCAGCCCTGAGCATCCCTGAGCATCCCCAAACATCCCCAAACATCCCCAAACCCCGCGGGTCCGTGCCAGCACTGGCTCCGCTACCTGACCGGCACGTCACCGTGCCAGCAGTGCAGGGAGGATTTCATTATTGCCAGCTCAGGGAAAGCTCAGGGAGATTTAATAAAGCCATTATGCCCCCAGCAATGTAATTAAAGAGCTAGTTACAAATGGCCCACTGTTCCCCAGTAAGAGGAGGGTGCTGGCTAGTGTTGAAGGGGCTCGTTTGTCCCCAGACCAGCTGCCACTGAGTCCCCTTGCACGTGGCCGTGGGGGACAGGGACCCCTCAGCAAACGCTGCCATGTGCCACCCTTGGGTTTGTCCCTGCTGCGTGGATGGGACAAGCAACCACGTCCCATTTAATCATGTAGGCCTGAGAGCTCCTACGTCTTTTTGGCTGCTGAAAGTCGAGATAGTTCAGCTGGATGTGGCTGCAAACATCTATAAAGCTGTTTTGTATTGTATTACAGCAGTGCTGTTCTCAGCACAGGGTGAAGCTTTTTGTCTTGCCAAGTATCGTAAAAGATGAACCCCCAAATCTCATCCCCTTGGAGGCTTTTCCAAGGGTCTCAGCTGGACCACGGTGGGGGAAATCCTCCTTCCACTCTGCCCAGACACCCGGCCGGCCCTTTCCAGCGGGGCCACAGCCTCCGTGGCTCAAGGTTTGCAGTTTATGGTGACTTTTATGACTTAGCTGATTAATTCTGGTAAACCATTTCCCAAGAATCGCCACAGCGATAAAGCCGGACCGCAGGCTGGGAGGCGGCAGCGGCTCCTACGGCAGCGCCGTACGCGGCCTCCCGCTGCGGCAGGGTTGTTCCCCGTGGACGAAGGCTCGGGGTGGTGGCCCTGGGACTCTGCCCTGGGCTGCAGCGGGATTTGGACTTTGCTCTTGGTGTGAGAGGTCTCCATCAGGTCCTGGGAATGCACCGGGATTTCAGCTCTGCTGAATCACGCCGTGGGGGGGGGGGTTGTCCAGCTTTTGGGGTTTGTGCCCCACGGCACATGTCCCCGACGGGGGGGGGAGGAGAGGTGATGGGGATGTTGGGGGGAACCTCAGTGGGGTCTTTGGGGTGCTGAGGAGGGGCAGGTGAGAGCAGCCCTGCAGGCCCAAGGGGAAGGGCTGGGGGGGGACAACCCTGTGCCCTGGTGGAGGTGGTTACACTTGATCTTCTGCACCAGGGAAGAGCCGGATTCCATCAGCCACTCCAGATCCCAGGGTCCACGGGCTCCCATGGGTGGTCCAAGGCTGAGGGTGCTCCAGATCCCCCCCCCCAGCCGCTCCAGGTGTGAGGGTGCGCTGGCTCCCGTGGGTGATCTGGCTCTGGGCATTGCTCCGGATCCCTTTGGGGAATCCAGGCTTAAGGATGCTGCCGATCCCCACCCGGTCCCTACCTGGTCACTCTGCATCCCACGGGTGATCCCGGGCTGAGGATGCTCCAGGTCCCTCCCCAGCGCGCTGCGCACCGCGGGCTCCTGGTGACACCTAGTGGCATCGTGTGACACAAACACCCAGACAGACACCCAGACAGACACCGACAGACACCCAGGCATGGGGGGGGGGGCGATCCGGGGGTGCTTCTCACCCTGGTGCCCAGCGCTGCATCCCCCGGGGGATGATGCCCACAGCCCGGCCAGGAGGAGCAGGGCGGGGGGGGACCCCCCCATCATCTCCCCCCATCATCTCCCCCCATCATCTCCCCCCATCATCTCCCTCCTCCGGGTTTTTCTCCCTCAGGGCCATCCCATGGGGGAAGCGCAGGATGCGGCCGATGGTGCTGGAGGGGTTCGCGGGGGAGGTGGGGGGGGGACATGGACAAGTGGAGGTGTGGGGGGGGGGGCCCAGGGACATGTCACCCAGCTGCCATCCCCCAAGCCAAAAGCCCAGCCAAGGGGTGCTGGCTCCCAGCACATCACCCCAGTACCGCTGATGGGTGCAGGGGGTTAGTGGGACCCCCCCCCATTAAGCCAGAGCCATGCAAGACCCTCGTTAGCGCTGTCCCCAAACCCATGAAATGGTGACAAAGCCGCTGTGCCCTGTCCAGGGGACAAGGCCCCCCCGGGGGCTGAGCCAGCAAGGTTGGGGGGGGGGGGGTCCTGGCCTGGTTTGGGGTTGGCGTGTCACAGGGTGGGGGGGCTTAGGTAGGTGCGGGCAGAGCCTGGC